AAACCCAAAAAAAAAAAAAAAAAAAAAAAAAAAAAAAAAAAAAAAAAAAAAAAAAAAAAAAAAAACCAAAGTCACAGTGCTTAAAGCTTCAATGGCAATTACTTAAACTTACTAAACTAATTAACCAAACTTAAACACCCCGGGAAAACTAGAAACATGACTAGAAGTACCTACCGACCGTGACTGCTGTGTCTGGAAAGGGACAAACTGGCCTGGCGGTGCCAAGTGAGGAGGATGGTGGGGAGAAAGGTGAGGAGGGTGTATAAGAAATGGATCACTAGAAATAAGGGGTGGGAATGCAGCATATGGGACTGGTAAGTGCTGAACCGAACAGGCCTGAAGCATCTGTAAGAGAAAAGCATTACTTTTAGTTTAAAAATGTCAGAATATACAAATTTTCTTGACAAAGGTATGAATCAAATTACCACACCTCCCAAAACTCATAGTAAGTACTCAAATATTTCTGCATCTATCAGTAAGAATGGTAAACAGTGTAGCTGTATTGTATAATTGTCCTAATCCAATGAAATGAAGGAGAGGGAGTGCTATGCAGGCGGAGGGCCTCTTCCTCACAACCATCTCGTCAATCCTTCACTCTGCTCCTCAGAGACCAGCTTGGGTCACTGAATTAATTGCTAAACTGTCACTGACACATGTATGTGTGCTTTAACTTCCCAGGCAGACCAGGGGATTAAATTTTTTTTTTATTTTCAAGACAGGGTTTCTCCATAGCTTTTTTGGGTCCTGTCCTGTAATTAGCTCTTATAGACCAGGCTGGCATCAAACTCACAGAGATCCGCCTGCCTCTGCCTCCCGAGTGCTGGGATTAAAGGCGTGTGCCACCACCGCCCGGCCAGGCAGTATTCCCAAGCGCTTTCCTGATCACAACCACCTTGTTTTTTAATATTTGGAGTCAAAATATTACAAGATAGAATATATAGCGTTAGAGGGAAAATTAGCTGTCCGAATCTCATTATCTCTATGACGCTAAGCAAGTAATTTTATCTTCCAGATCAAGTTTATAGAAATTGGGATAATCGCATTTTCATTAACAGGTTTCTCATGGTGAAAAACAAAACAGGCTCTCAAGAGTGCCCACTGAAGCCCACTGAAGTAAGGGCTAAGAATGCCAAGTGCTGAATATCACATTACTAAGTCTAAAGTCAATCTTTATTAAGGTTTAATTATTGTTTATTTATAGGAAGAAATAGGGTTTAAGACACTGTAATGGATATATTTTTATCACTATAAATGGATATATTTTAACCACTAAATAGAATACATCATAATTTAAAGCTAATTATTTAATGGTCACTATAATTGTGCTGAGATTTTTTTTTTAAAGATTTATTTATTTATTATGAATACAGTGTTCTGCCTGCATGTATGCCCTGTATGCCAGTAGAGGGCAGCAAATCTCATTATAGGTACCTGGAAGGCATCATGTGGTTGCTGGGAATTGAACGCAGGACCTCTGGAAAGATAGCTAGGGCTCTTAACCTTTGAGCCATTTCTCCAGCCCTGTGCTGACATTTTTATTACAGTAAAATTAAACTTTTTACTTGCAAGTGACCCTACTAATACAGTTCTTAAATCGTATCTGTTAGCCATCCTAAGGGAGGACTGCTGAACTTTAAGTCATAAACAAAACCCAGTTGGCATGCTATTTTAAATAGTAAGATTGAGTGAGAATAAAGGCCCAGACTTACTGGAGGAGGCACACTACAGACAGGGAGGTGTTGTCCACTGAAGACCACAGAGCATCCTGGGACCTGTTGTGCACTGCAAGCAGGGATGTGCTGACCTGTGCAGAGTGGAATCCCATGGGGCGCCACCGTGGTTACCGTGTAGGAGACAGGAACTGTTCCTTGATGGAGCTTTTAGGAAAGAAAAGTAAAACTTTTGAGAAAACACGACCTATTTTAAAAATTAACATTTGAGGGCCTGGAGAGGCAGCTCAGTTGGTATGGTACTTGTCATATTATGAATTCCTGGGTTTGACCCCATCACCACATAAACTAGGCATTGTGGCTCAAACATGTAATCATGGCATGGGGGGGGGGGTAGAGACAAGAGGATCAGAAATTCAAGGTCATTTTTTTTTTTACATATATAGTATATTAAAAAGACAGCTTGGGATAAATGAGACCCTGCCCAAACATGTATTGATCCCCATCTGCTATATAAATTTTCACAATGTACTTCCTTCACATTTTCTTTTTGAAACCCAAGTCTTATGTAGCCCAAGTTAGTCTCTCATTATGTTAAATTTCTTTTATTAAAAGGAATGGAGAACTTAAATAGCAACATTTCAGGAATGAAAGAAACCTACAACAAAAATCAATGAATTCCCTTGAAAAATACAAACTTCTACTCTTGGCATTTCCAGGGAATTCTGTTACTGTACCTGATCATGTATGTCGACCATGACTGCATTCTGCTGGGGAGGATGAGCAGCTGGATGTAACAGACGGGGAGATACATTCGGAGGGTGGAAGGCTCGAGGTTCCTCTATTGCTTGCTGCTGTGCGTAAGGGAGATGGTGATAGTTTTCATCTTGACTAATGGAATTATGTCGAGACAGACGATCCCTTCTTCCTCGCTGACGCCTGATGGGAGGACTAAAATAAGGTAAATGCCAAAAAGAAGGTCATTACTATAATGTTTAGCAATCAGGATTCTGTATTATCTATTACCTATAAATAATATATGCTAAGGTAAGCTAAGAAATTAAATAAGTGCTATGGTTCCCAATTGATGTGGGAGTGTCATATATCAATCTGTTGATTTCATTGGTTAAGTTATAATAAACCAGCTGCTTGGCCTCATGGCTTGGAACATAGATGGGAGGAGTAAACAGAATAGAATTCTGGACGGAAGAGGAAGTGAGGTCAGACTCTGCCCTGCTTCCAGAGGGACTGGACAGACGCCATGCTCAGCTCTCCCGGGTAGACGCGATAGCTCTGCTCTCTGAGGCACACGCGATGAAGATGGATGTAGGCTAGAATCTTCCCGGTAAGCGCACCTTGGGGTGCTTACAAACATCATTAGAAATGGGCTAGTCCAGGTGCGAGAATTAGCCTGTAAGGGTTAGAGTTCATGGGCCAAGCAGTTCTTTAAATGAATACAGTTTGTGTGTTGTTATTTCGGGCGTGAGCTAGCCAAGCGGCTGGGGTGTTGGGGACGCAGCCCCGCCGCTTCTTATTTCAACACCCAATCAATTTTAAAAACTGACCAATTTAAATATAAATTCACAAGTCAATTTTAACATGCATAGATCTGCAGGAATCACTATGTTACTCTGACAGTGATTTTTTATTACCCTCATTTCTATGCTTATTAACAGAATTATTCCATAAGAAAAAGTTACCATCCCTCTTATTTTACACTTTTTTATGGGGTACTGGGGATGGTGATGCATGCTGTGGTTTGTCTGTGCAGATCAGAGGATGACCTTCGTGAGTTCGTGCTTTCCTTTTAATAAGTGAGTCCGGGGCTCAAACTCACGCTGTCAGATTTGGCAACAAGCACTCTTATGTCCTAAGCTATTTTGGCAGTCAGCACTTTCTTCTCATCATTTACTTAGTAGTTTATCCTCAATGTGGACTCATGGGTATTTATTTGCTGGGTTGTGATTCATACTGTTGTTTTATGGGTGCAAAGCGTCCCTTATTCCTCCATGAGTGAAGAGCATGGTTCTTTTTGCAAATTTACAAACAAAAGCTAGTTACTATCATCTGTAAACACATCCTGCCATCCACTTCCTATCTTAGGTTTTTATCTGGTGCAACTTCTGCACATTCAAATGAGATGTGTATACAAAGGTTCCAATAGTACTCCTTCCAGTAATAATGATGACCTAGATATGGCTATTAACCAATACTAAGTGGATAAATTATCATACTTTAATGTAAGATTATACCACAGTAAAAAATAAATGCTCAATTTCTGTCAACATTAAACACAAAATGCTTAATAAAGCCAAAGACTAATACATCTAAATGAAAAAAAAAATCCCATGGGGCTGGAGAGATGGCTCAGTGGTTAAGAGCATTGCCTACTCTTCCAAAGGTCCTGAGTTCAATTCCCGGCAACCACATGGTGGCTCACAACCATCTGTAATGAAGTCTGGTGCCCTCTTCTGGCCTGCAGACATACACACAGATAGAATATTGTATACATAATAAATAAAAAAATATTAAAAAAAAAGAAAAGAAAAAAAATCCCAAACTGTATTGCTTAAGAATATATATAGGTTGCTGGGCAGTGGTGGCACACACCTTTAATCCAAACACTGGGGAGGCAGAGACAGATTGGAGCGAGATCCAGGACAGCCAGGGCTACACAGAGAAACCCTGTCTCAAAATAACAACAAACAAACAAAAACAATAAAAAACAAAACAAAAAAGGAATATATATTCAAAACTACAATGAACAGGAGATCCATAAACTACCAATTTATTTCCTTGGGGAAAAAAGGCATGGCATGGCATAACAAGACAGTGTGGGTGTGGGTGGGCAGTTTATGAGAGGCCAGTTTTAACCTAGGAGTTGCTTCATGTTATCCTTTTGATTGTACATTTTTTTCCAT